CAGAGCCTTGCTGACCCGCCAGATATCACAGCGACGTCATTTTCCCCAAGCCCTTGAAGGAAGCAGCTAATTTATGTTGTTTATCTTTAAATTTGTAGAGTGTCTTTACCTTTAAGTTTTAGTGGAACTGCACCACTAACAATGCTAGGAGAAGGACGCGCTAAATGAGATCACAAAAGGGGTGTGGAATATGTAGATGAGCGCAGTGACTGCTGGTCATGCTTGAGCTACACATATTTTTTCTAAGATTTTTGGCAATATCTAGATATCAATATATTACTGCTGGTAATATTAGCTTAGAAACTCTTTGTTCTAGAAGTAAGGGGGTCTATAGACTGCATGAGAAAAGTGATCCTATCTTTAGAGTTATTTGAATTTGAGGGTGAGGTGCCCGGCCATGGTGTGATCTCACGCTTACTGGAAAGAAATATAGGGATCCTGCAGTTGTATTTTTTTAGCGCGAGTTTTAGTTTTTGTCTTTGGAGGTTATCCTTGCAAGTCTCCCAAGTATTGGAAGCTTGATTGTACAATCTGTGGTGTAAGGAAACTGTATTCGTACTTTTCCCTGATATGTGTTATTTAACAAAGTGAGTTCTAAGCGCGTGCCAAATGCTTTCGTAACACCGCCTTTGTTTTTTTTTTCAGCAGGTTTACTTTTATTTCGGAGTTATGTGTTATTCTAGGTAGCTATGCCTTCTTTCTTGAAACAGGAATGAACCGGTAGCATTCAAAACTTTGACAAGAAAAGAAGTAAGATCGCGGCTATGGTCGGGTTATAGTTAACGAAAACTCAATACTTTGAGGCAGAGAGCTGTCTTTCTTATTTTCCCGGGAACGTTTTTTTATATCGCTTTTATGAATTATTTGCTGTAGACCCTTTTGTTTTGAAGTCAACGGGTTAGCGTTTTGCTCCTCCTGACATCTCTTAAATAGGCCTTTCTTTTTTTTTTCTGTAAGGCCACTTGGGTAACTCGTGATACTTTCCACCTCCAACCCTTAATGACACTTGCTAGAGCTGTTTGCCACAAAGTAACGTTTTCACAGGTTCCAGAGATCGGGACGTGGGAGGTTTGGTGGGCTGTTATTCAGCCTACTGCATCAATAAAGCCTGCAGCTTTGTCAGGAGCTAGAGAATGACACCAGTAAAAGGCGCTGGAAGTGTGTAAATATGCGCAGTGTCCTTTGGCCTTATTCACGTTGAACATGTTTTTGCAAATATTTTGGGATCCAAGATGTTACTGCCCGGCGTTTACAATTTGGAACGTCTTTCTTTTGTAAGTGATGGTCTAGCGCTTGCAGGAATAGAGTGAGCGTCTGTGTGGAGTGTTCGGAGTGTGAAGGGAAGCAGTGCCGGGATCCACCTCGTGCTCCAGATGGTGGGGGGCGGGGCCTTGGCAGCGTGCAGGACTTGTCGCTCAGGGCCAGAGTGATGATCAAGTAGCTTTTTCAAAAGCAGTGTTCGTTGGCTTGGATGTGTTTGAAAAACTTGTGGCAGATTTTTCAACAGCTCCACCTGTTGACGGAACTGATTCTCAAGTACAGCCCTGAAATAAGCGCGAGGGCTAACAACACCTTCCCAGAGCTACTGCAAGACTTGTTTGATGTTGCAAAGAAAAAGAAACACTTTCCTACAGCAGGTCCTGACTGTTATTAAGCCTCCTCCAAAGCGTCAACAATTTGCAGTCAGAACCCGGTTCCTCCCACTGCTATGATCCTTCTGATGTTCTGTCAAAGGTTCAATTCAGCCTGAGGTCTCAGTGCCACACATCTCGTCGCCCAACCACGTGGGCACCGTAGGCACCATATAGCTGTTGTCGTTGTCTGCATCATCATCATACCAGGGTTATCAAGAGAGAAGAACCAGGGTTCTGGTAAGTGTTAACACGGTGTGTGTGTGTGAAAGAAAGAGGGAATGAATTTATATTTTCTCTATTTCTATTTTTTATTTGTACCTGTGTTTTAAATATTCTGTGTTTTATTCTATGTAGTTCTCTTTCAGGTCATTAACAAAAGCAATCCAAGTGTTGAAAGAAAATGTTACGTTATTGCTGACATGTACTAGGTAGTTAGGCCAATGACGGTTGTGACTGTACTTAACATAGACAGACTTTTTTTTTCTTGTCATTATTTCCTGAACAATACAGTGTAAAAGCTACACAGCATTTACATTGTATTAGGTATTATAAGTAAGCTAGATATGATTTAAAGTATACAGGGAGGATGTGCATAGGTTGTTTGCAAATACTAGGCTATTTTACTATATATAAGGGATTTGAGCATCCACAGGTTCTGGTATCTGTGGGGGGTCCCAGAACCAATTCACACAATGTAGAGGAACCACCGTGCTTCCGAGAATCCGTGTGGAGCCATGGTTCTCAAACCCAGCTACTTATTAGGATCACCCCAGGCATCTTTAACATGCTGATGCTTTGGTTCCTTGCACAACCAAGAATGTCAATCCCGTAGGTCTGGGATGGGACCTAGGTGTATTTAAGGTCCCCAGATGATACTAACATGGAGACGGGGCTGGGAAGTTCTGCGTAAGCATTTCCGTCCAGGCTTCAGCTATCAAGATGCATGTAACATACCCTTTATTAGCCATGTAAATATTTGCTTTACTAAGTCTTCTATTTGTTCTCAGTGCTTTGGTCATGAAACTAATTTATAGCCCTTACGGTATCTGCTATACCGTCGAATATATTTTGTTTAACAGCACCCTCCCTGGGATAGCAAATACTGCTTCAAAGCAGTGAGAATCCCATGAGGACAGAAGTCCAGACTGTCCTGTTTTCATCTGTTCCCCCAGTGCCTGGAACGGAGAAAATACTTAAAATTTTTTGTTGGATAGATAGGTGAACGAATAGAGTTAAGACCGTGTATTGGACTACTGAACTCAAATATATTTAATGATAGAGTCTAGATTAGAAATATCTGTGTGTGAGAATGCTGAGCTGGGTCTAATCACATAAGTAGTAACAGAGGTAAATGTAAGGTCCTGTCCTTCAGTCCAAGGGTACAGGCACAGAAAACATCTAACATGTTTTTAGCAATGCAGGAAAAGGACTTAGTGATTACCCAAAAAGACAGTTACAGGGACTTTCCTGGGGTCCAATGGTTAAGACTCCGTGCTCACAGTGCAGGGGGCCCAGGTTTGATCCCTGGTCAGGGAGCTAGATCCTGCATCCTGCATGCGTGCCGCAGCTAAGAAGATCCCGCGTGCCGCAACTAAGACCTGGCACAGCCAAATACATAAATAAATATTAAGAAAAATAAAAGACAGTCACAGCCCTAAATCATATTAATAGATGTAGGATCTGGAATGTCGGAGACAATCACCCCATTTTTATCATTTTCCAGATCACATCTGTGGTATTATGTGCAGTTTTGAAAACCATCTTCGAGGATGGGGACAATATAAAAACTAAAGAATATTTGGCAAAGACTCCTAGGATATTGAAAAATCATACCATGTCATACAGAGGATGGTTGGAGGACTGGGGAAGTTTTCTTGGAGGAACTCGGGACTGTGAAAGTTATCTTTATTTATTTGAAGGGTTAGCATTGAGAAACCAGGCTGGATTTATCTGATGTGACCCCAAAGAGCTGGATTAGAACCAAATTTTAACTCCATACAAAAAAATGACATTTCGGGCTTCCCTGGTGGCACAGTGGTTGAGAGTCCGCCTGCCGATGCAGGGGACACGGGTTCGTGCCCCAGTCCGGGAAGATCCTACATGCCGCGGAGCGGCTGGACCCGTGAGCCATGGCCGCTGAGCCTGCGCGTCCGGAGCCTGTGCTCCGCAACGGGAGAGGCCGCGGCAGTGAGAGGCCCGTGTAGCGCAAAAAAAAAAAAAAAGAAAAGACTTTTCCAAGATCAAAGCTAGCCAGGAAAAGACTATGGAATGTCTCTCTTACATAGACTGAGGTATTTTGGCAGATGTCTATATGTCAGTGATGTTTTGGAGGAGCACTGGAGGGTCCTGCTTAAACACAAATACTGACTGCTTCAGTAGGTCCCCAGTGGAGCCTGATCTCTTTTGCATTTCTACAAGCTCCCAGGTGATGTCCACTCAATGGCCTCTAAGGTCTTTTCCAAGTCTGAGACTTTGGTTTCTATGAAATAGATGCATGTCCCCTCTTATGCAGACTCCATTCCTTTTGACTTTTAGGTGTAGCCCTTTTGAACCAGTTGTAAGGACAGACCTTTGGGAAACTTCCCAAATGAAGCCAAAGTCCCCTATGAATGCCATGTAGTGATTTTTCCACCACGAAGGAACAGAAGGGACTAACAGACTGTGATCACTGTTCTTAATTAAGAGGTAAAATTGTTACCATTCTCTTTCCTGAAAAGTGGACTGCGTGCGGATTTGTAGAGGTGGAGAATGAGTAATATCTGTAAAATCTCTTTTGTTCCTTTTTGCCTTGTACATCTGTAGAGACAGATTAGGGAGAAATTTGTAACTTTGCCTCTCAAATAAGACAAAAGGAAATTTTAAGTGCAATTCCGCATGGCTTCATCAATTTCCATCCCAGTTAAAAGGGTCAAAACACCATCTCCTCTTGCCAGAAACATACCAGTGGTCTCTCAAGGGCTTGGATGTAGGCTGAGGACAGTCCTGTCACCCACCCCTCCCCAAGAATGGCAGAGACTGCAGGCTGCATACCCCTCCCGATATTCTTTTTCCTTCCTTCCTTTGTCATAGAATCTCTGGTTCTTAGCTAGGCATATGACTTCCCAGAGAAAAAGAGATCCTGTTTCCTAGATTCCTTTGCTTGTTTTCCTGATCTCTCTTTAAATGTCGATAGTGATGGAAAATGACATTCCACGTGGGAATAATATAGTGATATAAACGTTTTTAATGAAGCACTGCCATTTTATCCAGGATACTGAAAAGTGTTCACTGTGGTACAAGGAGCAGAGAGATAAAGACTTTGATCGTCAGTTGCGGTGTTAAACAATGCTGGAGAAAGAAGCTGCATTTGGCTACGAAGTTCCTGGAGAACTTCATGAATCATGAATCTCCCCGTCTGTCAGGGGTAAAGGAGCCTGTTGGGTTAGGAGTCAAAGGAGGAGTAATTTCTGTTATTGGTGAGAATGGTAGCATGGGGACTATGGTAGTCCGTCTGTTCATTGGTGGTTTCCGCTGATAAAACAAAAATCAAGACAAAAAAGGCATTTATAAATCCTCGACATATAAATATTACATAGCTACTACTTGAGTAATAAAATATTTTTAAGTTTATATAGATAAGAGGGGAGAATTTTCAACCAATACCATTTTTTTTTTAGTTTTGTTAACATTACCAACTTCCTCTATTTCTCTCTATGTGTATGACAGTTAATTACTGAAATTTCAAATTGTTAGCATTTCATCTTTGCAAAGAATAGCAAGTACTTTCTTTCCAACCTTGTTGTTTCAGCCAATCTTTTTGGGAAGAACAGCTAGAAGAGTTGGACGCCCCTGCCGCCAAATGTTTACGCATACTTCTGAAGGTAGCAGAGTTCTAAGAAAGTGAGGCTTTATGGACCCGAGATCCTGAGGAGGCAAGAATCCCAGGGAGGCATTTGACTGCCCTCAAGGCAACTGGAGACTCCTAAAGCAGTGGCTGAAAGGCTGGAAGCCCAGCACTTTTGACAAACTCACAGGGCTGGGGGCCAAAAGTTCAAGTTCAGGGGCTGCTGGAGAGAAGGAGACTTGGTAAGTAACCCGGCTTAAGGCTAGGACCCCAAAGACCTCACCCTGGGGGTAAGAGTGAACCAGGGGGACTTGTTCTAATCATCTCAGTGTTCAAGTGGATCAAGGTGATCTGTGAATGTTGTCCCCACAGTCTACATAGTCTAGAAACAAAAGTAAATTCTCTCTGGAGGACGATAAGTTCATCCAGAACCTCAAGTTGTCTCTATAATTTTCAAAAACAATGTTCACTGCTCAATCAAAAACAACCAGGCTAAAAAAAGAATCCAGAGGGCGTGGGGTTGGGGGGCAACAAGACTCAAGTGACAGTGAAAAAAAGTCTATCATAGAAGCAGACCCTCAGGAGGTCCAAAGAGTGGAGTTACCAGACACTGACTTTAAAATAACTGTGATTAAAGTGCTCAAGGAATTGGAAGATAAGATGGCGACTTTGGCATAAAATGGACATTTTAGAGCTGAAAAATAGAAGGAAATAGAATAATTTTAAGAAATTATGATTTCTTAAATAATTTCACATATTTTTATATATAAATATATATGTATATATTTTTAATGTAACTTCCCTCTCAGATATTTTTAGTAGGATACATGTAATGAAAATTTGAGAGGACTTTTGCTTAATAACTATCTTCAACATTTTCAAGAAATTGTAATGCTTTTCAGACAGATTCACAAGTTTTAGTTCTTCCATTAATTAGCAATATTGTTAGTATGTGGAACATTCTTAATTCATAAGCAGTGACTTAAAGTTTTATTAAAAATAAGATATAAATGGGAAATTAGCCAGTATTATGATAACAAAACCCTCAAACATGATTTCACATTTCCTGTCTTTCCCTTTATTTTCCTGAACCTTCATTCTTCTTTCAAGTGTTGATAATGATAGAAAAATCAAAAATGAAAACTTACACAGGTATTGAAGAGTTCATAAAACCTCTGAAGGTACTGCAAGGAGGGGGGGGAAACAGTTACCTGACATTTAATTGTTAGGAAATTTTGTTTCAGTTCACATATAATTTTTTATGTTCTTAAAAAAAGAAATACTTCCAAGAAGAAATTGCAAAACTTACTTTAAGGTCTGTGAGTAGTAAAGAAGCTTGCTGTAATGTAAATTGGACAATCATATAGAAGAAAAGGGAGTTAGGAGTTAGCTGAGATGAGTATCAGTACAAAAATTTTCCAGAGATTAACTCCACTAAAAAACAACCAGAGTCCATAGAAACACAAAGATTTATCTCTGCCTTTTTAGTCAGACTATAAAAGGAAAAGGAAGTTGAGAGCCAAGGTGAGGAACAGAGAGCTGTGTGCTTTGGCAATTCTCTCTGAGCAGAAACCTGAGCTTTCAAAGATGCTCCAAGCATCTTCAGGAAGATGCAAAGCAGCAAGCAATATACCAAGAGGCCACAATCTACAGATCAAAATCTATGCTAAAGATAATTACTAAAAATAAGTATAAATTTATCTCTGAGCTTGCTTGGCAAAAAAAGTAGACATTTGTCTGTTGAGATGAAGTCTTCTAAAAGGAATTAATAATACATGTAACTTGTTAATGAGGAATTTTAGATATTATAATGGATGTATTTAATGGGTTTACCAGGTGATGCAGTCTACATGGTCTCATTCTTTGATGGATCCTCTGAAAAGTAAGGACATAATATTCAGTTGCAAAAACAAAGTATTCTGGTGGTCTCTGGGTTCTAGATTATTTAAGTCAGATTATGCTAAATTTGTAGAAGACGTTTAATGACTTATGTTATCCCCTTATTGTGAAAGAGAAGGATCTAAACCAGGTGTATATTGAGAAGGGTGGTGTTCACCCGGACAAGAAGTGACACAAGGCTGGTGTTCTAACTTTCACGGGCCTGGAGACGGTCTATTTCTCTGGAGATGATTCTCCCAACTGGCAGGAACTGTCCACAGAATTCCTAGGTATGCCAGAGAGGCTGGTTCCTATGCTTCCCACCTTAGATTTTTCATTTTTACCTTGGAGAAAATCTTTTTTTTTTTTTTTTTAATTTTGTTGAAGTATAGTTGACTTGCAATGTTGTGTTAATTTCTGCTGTACAGCAAAGTGACTCAGTTATACATATGTATATTCTTTTTCATATTCTTTTCCATTATTGTTTATTACAGGATATTGAATATAGTTCCCTGTGCTTTACAGTAGGACCTTGTTGATATTCATTCTATATGTAATAGTTTACATGTGCTATCCCCAAATTCCCACTCCATCCCTCCTCCAGCCCCCTCCCCCTTGGCAACCACAAATCTGTTCTCTATCTCTGTGGGTCTATTTCTGTTTTGTAGATATGTTCATTTGTGTCATATTTTAGATTCCACATATAAGTGATATCATATGGTATTTGTCTTTCTCTTTCTGACTTACTTCACTTAGTATGATAATCTCTAGTTGCATCCAGGTTGATGCAAATGGCATTAGTTCATTCTTTTTTATGGCTGAGTAATATTCCATTATATATATATACCATATCTTTTTTTTTTTTACATCTTTGTTGGAGTATAATTGCTTTACAATGGTGTGTTAGTTTCTGCTTTATAACAAAGTGAACAGCTATACATATACAATATCTCCTCCCTCTTGCATCTCCCTCTCACCCTCCCTATCCCACCCCTCTAGGTGGTCACAAAGCACCGAGCTGATCTCCCTGTGCTATGCAGCTGCTTCCCACTAGCTATCTACCTTACGTTTGGCAGTGTATATATGTCCATGCCTCTCTCTCGCTTTGTCACAGCTTACCCTTCCCCCTCCCCATATCCTCAAGTCCATTCTCTAGTAGGTCTGTGTCTTTATTCCTGTCTTACCCCTAGGTTCTTCACGACATTTTTTTTTCTTAAATTTCATATATATGTGTTAGCATACGGTATTTGTCTTTCTCTTTCTGGCTTACTTCACTCTGTATGACAGACTCTAGGTCTATTCACCTCATTACAAATAGCTCAATTTCGTTTCTTTTTATGGCTGAGTAATATTCCATTGTATATATGTGCCACATCTTCTTTATCCATTCATCTGATGATGGACATTTAGGTTGCTTCCATGTCCTGGCTAGTATAAATAGTGCTGCTATGAACATAGGGGTGCATATATCTTTTCAAATTATAGTTTTGTCTGGGTATATGCCCAGAAGTGGAATTGCTGGATCAAATGGCAACTCTATTTTTAGTTTTTTGAGGAACCTATATACTGTTCTCCATAGTGGCTGCACTAATTTACATTCCCACCAAAAGAGTAAGAGGGTTTCCTTTTCTTGGAGAAAATCTTGTAATCATGCTTTATGTTCCTGAAAATATTACTTCTTGAAAATGTCACATATTTTCTCCCTAAATCATATCTTCCTAGGAGACAACAAATATTCCTAATTTTGGTTTTTTAAAAAAAGAACAGTTACCTTCCAGTTTAAGAAGTGATCATGGTGAATTCCCGAATGAAATTCTCGTACCTGTGAAAATTGAGAGGAAGAGTATGGAGACTGAGGAAATAGGTGTAATAATAAGAATAGTAATTAACTAGGAGATTTAGACTTTGAGTTCCCAGAAGGCAGGGGCTATGTTTTGTCATCTGTGTAATCCTGGCACCTAGCACGATCCGCCCATTTCAAGAAAAATTTGTTTACAGAATAAGCGAATGAACGTTGCATCTGTTAACATCGGTCACTAATCCTTTTTAATACCAAAAATATTATCTCAGACACAAGCATACCTAGTTTTATTGCACTTCACAGATACTGCATTTTTTTTTTTTTTAACAAATTGAAGGTTTGTGGCAACCCTGTGACAAGTCTATCATTCATTTTTCCACCTGTGCTTGCTCACTTCATGTCTCTGTGTCACATTTCGGTAATTCTCACAATATTTCAAACTTTTGATTATTATCATATTTATCATGGTGATCTGTGCTCAGTGATCTTTAAAAATATTACTACTACGACTTGCTGAAGGTTCAGATGATGGTTAGCGTTTTTTAGTGATAAAATATTCTTCAATAAAGGTGCACATTGTTTTGTAGACATAATGCCACTGCACACATAATAGATTACAGTATAGTGTAAACATAACTTTTATATGCACTGGGAAGCCAAGAAATTCGTGTGACCCACTTTCTTGCAATATTTGCTTTATTGTTGTGGTCTGGAACCGAACTCACAATATCTCCGAGATAAGCCTGTAATTCTCTCAGCCTACTCACTCTCTGCTTTGTTCATAATAATGACCTGAGCTGTAGTTTTCCTTAACCTGCTACCACGCAGCTTCCGTTTGTCTCAGGGTTTATCAAGGGCTTCTCCAGAGCAATCACAGCTCCCTCTGACGGCCCCTCCCTCATCCAGTGGTTCTCAACCTCCATTGCCCAGTGAAATAATCACCTGGGGAGCATATAAAAATCCTGATGCCTAGATCACAGGCCCAGGCCAATTAAGTCAAGTTTTGGGGATGGGACCCAGACATCAGGACTTTTTAAAGTTCCCCAAGCAATTCCATAGTGCGGCCAAGATTGAGAATGACTGCTCTGTTCCGAGGCCAGGAGAGTTTCTCTGCTGTGCTTGACTCAAATCTATTGTTTTTCTAACAGGGTCTTTTAAAATAGGTTGAAAGAGCTACTTTTAGCTCCATAGAAACTTAAAATGGAGACTGTGGCTTTGAATCCAATGATAGATTTTTTTTTTTTTTGAGGGTTGAATATAAAAGTTTGGAATGCATGAACCAAGGTTGATTTGCAGAAATAGACATTAAGAGTTTACTTACTGGTGTGCAATGAGCTGTGACCAAAAGGAAAGTGATCAGAAACACCAGTTTCATCTTTTGACTCTATCTACAAGTAAAACAAGAGTATTAATTCTTAACTTGGAAAATATGGAGCCCTTTCCTGCTTATGTAGCGTGACACTGGATCAGGCACATTATTAAGGAGCTTGGTGAAGATTATGCTCTTGGGAACCAAAGGATGTATAGATTAGAGATTCTGGAAGATATTAAACAATTGAAATATAGATTATGATTCACATGCCTTAAGAATTGTGTGTGGCTCTAATTCAAGATCTACAACATTCAAGATCTACACACACACGCATGCGTGCATTCAAGTACAGTACAGTATAAAACATTTCATGCTTACTAGGAATATTCCCCCAGTGAGTTTAAAAGAATATTGGTCTATTCTATTAACTGCTCGTAAAAACACAGCTTTTAAAATAGTTATTATTTCATTTGATTCTTACAGTGACTTTGATAGGTAGATATCATTAGTATAATATCCACTTAGAAGTGGGTATTTGTCTTGTCTATACTCCTATATTATGATGTAGCTTGTTTATTTGATGTGTTAGTGAATTCTAATAGGTTCATGGTTTTTCTGTTTTCTACTGTATTATGGTAACTTTCGTTTCAATCATCTTCATTTTTCATGAAAACAAGAAAAATTCCATCATCTTTTAAATGATATACAAAATGCCTTTTTTGTTGTTTTGAGGGAAGAGAAGAGAGATCAGGCATTCTGAAGATAAATATAATTGTTTTATTTCTCCATAGGAATACTGTAATTTTTATCAAGAGTATATTGATTGATTTTTGTAAGTGGTGTCACTCTTGGTAAATGTTTTTAATAAAACTTAATTCTGCCATTTGAAATACTTTTTACAAAGAGAGCTCTAAATGTAATTTAAAAAGGAATCAAGACAAAATGACAACACATATCCAATAATCTTAGATCTGTGAAATGCCATAAGAGAATATGTCCTGAACCAAACTGCCAATGACTGACTTTAAAAATCCATCTTCAAGGTTAAACAATATTTGAAATGGGAAGAAAGCCTTCAAGAGGATGATACGAAGACCAAATTTATGTAAGTATTATTGCTTGCTGGAAGGCTTGCATCCTTCATGTTCCCCTGTTATAACTGTTGATGTTCCCCTTATTTTTCCTTATATACATTGCTGTAAATATGGAGGAGGGAAACAGGAATGCACATTTGAAGGATAACTTTGAATATTCCACTTATGCAGGATTTTTGTCACTGCTGTTTTTCTATAATTTGTTTTCAGTCACTATTTTAAAGCCCTAACATAACCCAGAGCAAACATCAGAGTAACATATTTAAAATAAATAAACATGTGAGTACATGAGACAATATTTAAAGAATTAAAAGCATAGGCCATGACTATAAAAGAGAATTAAAATGTTATTGTAAATAAATTAAATTCTTTAATTCTCAACTTTTCTAGCTGTCCATATCTTTTATAAGATAATGTAATTTATAATTGAAAGGATATTTATTACCTTGTACACCAGGAAAAATGAAATGTCCAATATCGTTAAGATTTCCTTGACGCCTCGTTTGCAGATGATCTGGATAATCAGAAGATATTTATATATGTGGATACTAATGACGTGCAGTATCGGCACTTTAAAAAATAAAAGATTCTTCATGACCCTCATTTACATAGGAATGGGACAGGGGTTTCCCGTGCAAGGACAATACCTCATTCTTTGCAGGGCCAAGACCCTTGTCTCTGATCATAATACATTTTTGTGGTTATTCTTGAGACATGAGTAATTCAGGAGACCTAGGGTTTTGCTAATGAACAATCAGGACAAATAATTGCAACAACTAGAAAAGTACCATACTTGTATTAGTAGTTTGGCTAGGAGATACACCCTGAGAATTTCAACTTAAAAGACTTAACATAAATCCCTTGAAATTTGTGTGAATCATGCATTGACAGAGGATGTCTTTTTCTGCCATCTCATGCAGTGGGGAGACAGAGGCTATGAGCTGGATAAGTGGAGGAAGCACTAGCCTAAGAGTCAGCCCTCCGAGTCCCAGCTCAGCCACAGCCTGTGTTGGCTACACCTGGTGAAGGTCAGTTTGGTTTTCCACAGGAAAAAATCCCCAGGGCTCTCCTTATCTCAGAGTCCAGGTCCCAGCTAACTCAATACCAGAGAAAGGAAATTCTTCCCTCCTCCGACAAAAACCCATTCATCTCTTGCTCCTGTATGTTTGACAGGATAAATATTTAGCTCCTTTCAGAGAAGTCCTATACTCTCCACATCTATAGGTTTCACTTTTATGGTCCAGGCAGATCAATCTGCAGCATTTTTACCAAAATCTAGGTTATCCAGTCTTAAATAACATCACCTGTGGGACAACAACAGCTTAGCCAAGGCATCACTTTGCCAAACCCAATTCCTTTCACTATATATATATATATATATATATATATATATATATTAATGAGCCCTCCTTTATTGGGCTAATCAAAATAGTGTCACCTAGTTCTGGGGAAAAGTTCTAGTGCTTTGAAACTCCAGTGCAAAATGAAATAAAATGCAAACTTCACAACTTCACCTCACAGACGTTCCACCATGTTCTAGCTACATAAGTATGTGAATAGTGTAATTGCCTGCAGCCCGGAATTCACTCTTTTTCTCTAGTATGATAAAACAGATTGATTCCTTTTAAAGCAGTACCAGTTCTCCTCTTTCATCTTGTCTGGAACAGAGATAATGGATAAGTGGGAAAAATCAAAGAAACTTCTGGATCCATCACAATGGGAGTCCAGCCACCACGCTAAGCAGCAGCGAACGGGATGGTCTGGGAGCCATATCAGAACCTTGTTTGTAAACTTATCTGTGTCTCCTAAATTGAGGCACTGTCTAACTCTTGGCTTCTCAACAGTGGTGATCAGAAGTTTGTTTCTTCAGGAACAAATTTGAGTGGGTGGACCTCTCAGCTTTCGCGGATTTGGCATCCCACAGGAGTATGTGCTTTCCCTTTGAAGATTCACAAGCCCTCAGCACTAAGAAACACAGACCACCATCCAGAGCAGAATGTAACACACTTTCTCATTGTGGCTTTTGCTTTCTTTTTTAAGTGTAGTTGATTTACAATATTATATTCCTTTCAGGTGTACAACATAGTGATTCAGTATTTTATAGATTATACTCCATTTAAAGTTATTATAAAATATTGGCTATATTCCCTGTGCCGTACAGTAAATCCTTGTATCTTATTTTATACAAAGTAGCTTGAACTACTTAATCCCCTACTGCTATCTTGCCCCTTCCCTCTCCCCACTGGTAACCATTAGTTTGTTCTCTATATCTGTGTCTGTTTGTTTTGTTATATTCATTCATTTGTTCCAATTTTTAGATTCCACCTATGAGTGATAGCATACAGTATTTGTCTCTCTCCATCTTATTTCACTAAGCATGAAACCCTCCAGGTCCATCCATGTTGTTGCACATGGCAAAATTTTGTTCTTTTTTATGGCTAATATTCCATTGTGTGTGTCTGTGTATGTATATATGTGTGTATGTATGTGTGTGTGTATATGTATACACACACACACACACAGCTTCTTTATCCATTCATCTGTTGATGGGCACTTAGGTTGCTTCTATATCTTAGATATTGTAAATAAAGTTGCTGTGAACATTGGGGTACATATATCTTTTTCAAATTAGTATTTTCATTTTCTTGGCATGTATACCTTGGAGTAGAATTGCTGGATCATATGGTAGTTCTATTTTTAGTTTTTTGAGGAACCTCCATACTGTTTTCCATAATGACTGCACCAGTTTACATTCCCACCAACAGTGTAGGAGGGTTTCCTTTTCTCCACATCCTCGCAAACATGTTACTTGTGGTCTTTTTGATGGTAGCCATTTGGACAGGTGTGAGGTGATATCTCACTGTGGTTTTGATTTGCATTTCTCTGATGATTAGCAGTGTTGAGTATCTTTTCATGTGCCTGTTGGCCATCTGTATGTCTTCTTTGGAAAAATGTCTATTCAGGTTTTCTGCCCATCTGTTAATTGGGTTGTTTGGGTTTCTTTTGATATTGAGTTGTATGAGCTCTTTATATATTTTGGATATTAACCCCTTATCAGTCATATCATTTGCAAATATTTTCTCCCACTCAGTAGGTTGTCTTTTCATTTTGTCAATGGTTTCCTTTGCTGTGCAAAAGGTTTTAAGTTTAATTAGGTCCCATTTGTTTACTTTTGTTTCCTTTGCCTAAGAAGACATATCCAAAAAAATATTGCTATGACTTATGTCAAATAGTATGCTATATTTTCTTCTAGGAGTTTTATGGTTTTGGGTCTTACATTTAGCTTTTTAATCCATTTTGAGTTTATTTTTGTATATAATGTGAGAAAATATTCTAATTTCTTTTTTTTCTTTTTTTTTTTTTTTGCAGTACGTGGGCCTCTCACTGTTGTGGCTTCTCCCGTTGCGGAGCACAGGCTCCGGATGCGCAGGCCCAGCGGCCATGGTCCATGGGCCCAGCCGCTCCGAGGCATGTGGGATCCTCCCGGACCAGGGCATGAACCCGTGTCCCCTACATTGGCAGGTGAACTCCCAACCACTGCGCCCCCAGGGAAGCCCTAGATTCTACTATTAACTATGAATTATTTGCTTTATCACATATCTATACATGTATCTCTCTTTCTATGAATGTATTTGATGCCCATTTAAAAATTTGTTACATATTTTTTCTTGTCCATTTTTGGAAGATTTTATCTGTTATATGTTGCAATGATCTGTATGTGTCTTTTGTCTTTATGGAGCCTCATTGCTTCTAAGCTAGTGTGCAAAGAAGCATGTTTAAGTAGAACAAAATATTGTAAGGGGCCATTTGAATAACCAGTGTCTGAGAGTCCGCCTGCCAATGCAGGGAACACGGGTTCATGCCCCGGTCCGGGAAGATCCCACATGATGGGGAGTGGCTGGGCCCGTGAGCCATGGCCACTGAGCCTGTGCGTCTGGAGCCTGTGCTCCGCAACGGGAGAGGACACAACAGTGAGAGGCCTGCGTACCGCAAAAATAAATAAATAAATAAGAAGAAAATTTTTTTTGGCTGCATCGGGTCTTAGTTGTGGCACGTGGGATCTTCGTTGAGACATGCAGGATCTTTTGTTGAGGTGCACAGGCTCTTCATTGTGGTGTGTGGGCTTCTCTCTAGTTGTGGTGTGTGGGTTTTCTCTTCTCTAATTGTGGCATGCAGGCTCCAGAGCACGTGGGCTTTGTAGTTTGCGGCACGTGAGCTGTAGTTGAAGTGCGCAAGCTGAGTAGTTGTGGCATGCGGGCTTAGTTGCCCTGTAGCGTGTGGGATCTTAGTTCCCTGACCAGGGATCGAACCCACATCCCCTGCATTGTAAGGTGGATTCTTTTTTTTTATGGTTTTATTTTATTTTATTTTTAAAATTTAATTTATTTTTTATTTTTATTTTTGGCTGCATTGGTTCTTCGTTGCTGCGCGCAGGCTTTCTCTGGTTGCCGCGAGTGGGGGCTACTCTTTGTTGTGGTGCATGAGCTTCTCATTGCAGTGGCTTCTCTTGTTGTGGAGCACGGGCTCTAGGCACACAGGCTTCAGTAGTTGTGGCTCATGGGCTCTAGAGTGCAGGATCAGTAGTTGTGGCACACGGGCTTAGTTGCTCCACAGCATGTGGCATCTTCCCAGGCCAGGGCTCGAACCCGTGTCCCGTGCATTGGCAGGCAGATTCCTAACCACTGCACCACCAGGGAAGCCCTAAGGTGTATTCTTTACCAATGGACTACCATGGAAGTCCCAAGGTGCATTTAACTTTTGAACAAAGATTATTTTATCTTATAAAAACAACTCATGACCTTCAGAAAATTTGGACCACACAGAAAAGAGCTACCATTCAGTAATTTCACTCCTATGGTTAGCCAAGAAAATTGAAAACATATATCGACACAAAAACTGGTAAATGAGTGTTCATAGCAACATTATTCATAATAACCAAAAGGTGGAAACAACCCAGGTATCCATCAGCTGAGGAATAAGTAAACAAAATGTGGTATATACACACAATGGAATATTATTTAGCAATAAAAAGGAATGGCACAATATATTCAAAGTACTGGAAGAAAAAAACTTCCAACCAGGAATACTCTAAACAGCAGAGTTATCATTCAGAATTGAAGGAGGGATAAAGAGGTTTCCAGACAAGCAAAAGATAAAGGAGTTCTTCACCATTAAACCAGCTTTACAAGAAATGTTAAATGGACTTCTTTAAGCTGAAAAGAAAAGGTTCTAGTTAGTAACAAGAAAACATATGAAACAGTAAATCTCATTGGAAAGGTAGATATATAATAAAGTTAGTGGATTAATCACTTATAAAGCTAGTATAAAAGTTAAAAGACAAAAGTAGTAAAAATAAATATGAGTACAATAATTAGTTAAGGGATACACAAGATAAAAAGATGGAAATATGATGTCAAGAAACATAAAATGAGCAGTGGGGAGGGTAAAAATGTTGAGCTTTAGAATGGAATCAAACTTAAGTTGTTATCAACTTAAAATATGCTGTTATAGATA